GAGATCCATCTCCTCCAGCAATCATCGGAATGCGCCGAAATTCAAACTAATCACAGCGGGCTACGAAGGCAAGAGGGAGAAGTTCCGACGACGGCGGTGATAAAACAAAGAAATCAGAGAAACAAGAGCAGTGAGAAGGAGAGAATCGGAGAGCCAGGAACAAATGAGAAAGAAGAGAGAATACCTTCATTTGATCCTTCAGAGAGCTTTTAAATGATAGAGGGCACGATTTCCAGGAGAGGCGGTTGAGTAACCCTAAGAGGCTATACAGAGTGTAATCATGGCGATTGCGAACGAATGGTGGCGCATCGCTTCCGCTGCTCGTGGGAAAGTGTGTCGCCATACACGTGGCGACAAGATAGGGATAAGAACAACCCGAGGCGTGTTGCCCCGATTCGACGGCTGGGGGAAGGGCTCATAGGACGGTTCCTTGATTTAGGAAGCGATCCCGCCCTAGATTTTGAGGATCAGCCGCCCAAACCCGGAGGCTTTACCCGCCTGCGGGACAATTGTTGGGCCGTTGGGGATCGCTATCTAAATCAAGGCCCACATAGCAAGATACGACCCAGAGGGGAAAAAGCCCAATGAAGGCTGAAGCACGAGACGGGCCGGCCCAATGGACGACGGGCTAGGCGCAGGCGTTAACGTCCCTCGACGGCGGGCGTGCAGGCGTGTACGGCTAACGGAGCGGCATTTATACCAATCATACCATCATTGACACTACATTAAATGCCGCCGTAAGCGTACCTCGTAAAGGGATACAAAACATATGACTGACAAGACACCAAGTGCTTACACCAACCACCACAGACTATAAATAAGAGTCAACCACCTCATTTAATGGTAACAAATTCTACTCTCTCTCTACCTAACTTTCTCTCTCTACATACTAACTTGCTCGTCGGAGAGTGTTCGCGGGCCACGCCTCGGACCTTTTTTGCAGTGAACGAGTCATTTCCATCTCAAGGATCCAGCGGTATCTTCCGAGGTCTTCGCAAACCCGCTTGACACTTTCTAGGCGTAAACAGCACCCTTAGAGTTTATAGACTCAAATTCACAGATTGAGTCGGAATTTAAAATTAGATGTGTTTTTTTTCTTCAAATTATGAATATATAATAATTATATTTAATATCATGTAGACACTAACTCACTGAGAAAAGGAGAGTTTAGTAGCGGAGGCTTCTGCTTCAGGCTTTATGCTTGCTAGACAAAATCGAATAGGATAATTGATAAATAGGACCCGAATAGTGATTTGTATCAATTGAAGATTTCATTTGTAGTGTACAAATTAATTTTCTGTAAATCAAAACACAAGAAGTGAGCTTTAATGCAGTGGTAAATTACTCTTGTACTAACTCAAAGTGATAAATTTGATACATTGTATAATCATATATATATATAGTGAGATCAGACTGGTGTGCGTCAGGCGTATACTATACGTCAGGTACTATTAGTGAGATATCTCTATCTAGACCATGAATTAAATCGAGTTTGGGGTATGATCAATGAAGTTAAAAGCGCGATTCTACCTAAAAGCGGAAAAGGGGTAAAATCGTAAAACGTAGAATCAAAAGCGTAAAAACGTAAGTTTTTAAGCATAGTGTAAAATGGCTAAAAATCTGTTAAGTACGACATATACTATGTAAAATATGAGTGCATTGAATTTAGATAAGTAAATAAATACCTGCAATTCATGTCTAAAGTAGAACAACTTATAGCATCTTAACAATAAATTCATAAACATAGATATTAACAATAAGCCACCGCCCCCTCTATGCTAATGAATTTGGGAACTCTTCAACTAGATTACTCTATTGAAACTGAGAATGCATCCAAGACTTGCTATGTATCTTTTAATATCAAATATATCATATTGTTGGTGATTTACCTTTAAAATATAATTTTTATAATTAATTTCATGAAAAGAATACAAATTTAGTGAACTAAAAGCGTAAAAACGTAATGCGTTTTGGTGAGCTAGAAGCGTAAATGCGTAAGCTTTTAAGTTTTAAAACGCAATTTAGTCCAATTTTACACACTAAAGATTTTATATGGAAACGAAAGCGTTTTGGTGACCTAAAAGCGTAAAATCGTAAGTTTTAAAGTTTTAAAGCACGATTTTGACTGCATTGGGTATGATACTATACCCTAACCTCTAATGGATAAACCCCAGGCACCGATTTTCTAAACCCTAACCCGAAGTTTGATTTAATGAAAAACAAAAATTGACCGTTGAGATCGGCCGGAGCTCATCTAACCACATCTAACGGCTAGATCACCTGACGTATAGTATACGCCTGACGTACACCAGTCATCACCATATATATATATATATATATATATATATATATATATATATATATATATATATATATATATATGGGCCAGACTGGCGTACGTCAGGCGTATACTATACGTCAGGTACTACTAGTGAGATATCTCTATCTAGACCATGAATTAAATCGAGTTTGGGGTATGATACTATACCCTAACCTCTAATGGATAAACCCCAGGCACCCATTTTCTAAACCCTAACCCAAAGTTTGATTAAATGAAAAACAAAAATTGACCGTTGAGATCGGCCGGAGCTCATCTAACTACATCTAACGGCTAGATCACCTGACGTATACTATACGCCTAACGTACACCAGTAGTCACCATATATATATATATATGGTGGCGTATTCGGCGCACCCAATTTTTTGGGTGTACTCAGTGCACTCGCCTTATAATCATCATTCTGAGCATGCGATTCATGTCAAAACGGTATCCATTGTTGCTTATGATATTATGAACAAGAAGCACATGAAGTTGAAAAAAAATCATTTAAAATTTACTTTAATTTGAAGGATTTAGGGGTTTAGGGTTAGGGTTTAGGTTTACAGTTTGAGATTTTGCATTGGAATTCAAAATTGAATGTTAAAGGGTTAGGATAATAGATTGATTTGTTAATGATTCTATTTCATATCATCATATTAGATTGAGAGTACGAATTAAAGTTTAAAATTTGATGTATTATGGACACTTTTAGAAATGGGTGCACTGAGTGCAAAAAAAAAAAAAAAATGAGTACACCGAAGTAGCCACCATATATATATATATATATGGATGAATGATTTCCCTCCAAAGCTTACGTGTATTTCGTGACAGTTTCCAGAGCCCCTACCTTTGCCAACACTCATGTTTGTTTTCATTGTTGTTAATTTAACAAGTAAATGCACATATTATATAAGTTTAGACAAAATTTCAAGCAGGATCGCCGATGACTCAACTACAGATAGTTCCGGCGTTGGAGCCACATTGCCTCCCCAACTTCAAGATATGATTAAAAATACAGAAAAAAAGAATAAGATTGTAATATATTTGAGTAGGTAGGCAAATTTATCCTCCAAATTACCGGGAATCAGATCCATAGAACTTCAGTTTTTTTTTTTAACCCTAATCAGAAAACTAGTGATGATTAACTAGGGCGCTTACGCAGAAATTTGTGGTCCCGACGGAAGGGGGCCCAAGCCTGCCCAGAGCGTGAAGAGCTGCATGAATTCCACGTGCTTCACTCCCGCATTCCACGTTTCAACTTACTTTTCAAGGGCAATAAAAAAATAATGTATTAATATTTTCATTACTAATGAGCAAGGTTGTCTATCCGAACCCGGTCGAGCTAGTGGGTTAGGGGTTAACGGGTCACCTGTTTTAGTCCGGAAATATGAAAAAAGTCATTATATTGTACTAATTTTGATAAATTATATCAAATCTCATCTAACATATGAGTAATAACATATTGTTAGGCGAAAGTAACAAATCATACTTAGATCCAACATATAGTGAAAATTCACACACTTATATAACATCAATATTCAAATGTTCAACTATGGATTCCAAAAATTGAGTTAGGTGAAAAGAAAAATCGAAAAATAGACGCAAACCAATGAAAAAAATGACACAATTTGACCTCCAACCCGATACCTTGTAGCGGTCGACCCGGCGGGTGCGGTCGACCTGGCGGGTGCGGTCGACCCATTTTTCTCACCGGGTTAGGGTCAAAGTGGGTTGACCCGCGGGTTGACAACCTTGCTAATGAGTATGCTGAACTGAAAAAGTTAGCAGTTAATGGTTGAACAATTAATTATTATAGAATCGTTGGTTAAAGTGCATACAGTACAATATAAAAGAGATATATAATACACTAAATTAAGAGTGAATTTATCAATAAAACTAAAAAAGCTTAAATCCATATCATCTATCACCAAAAAATCTAACAAAGCAATAAAACTATCTAAAAAAAGATGTAAATTTTTTTATTAAATTCAGTCAGTAAATAAGAGTGACAATCTCGAGTAAACGAAATAAATCTGACATGGAGGTTGGAAAATGAAAAACAAAAAAGAAAAAAAATGATAACAACATAAGCATAAATAAAATTTGTGATTAAGGCTGGATGGTCTTAGTTTATGTCAACATATATATTTTTTTAATATTTTTGTGGTTAAATAATTGACCAGTGGATCAGTTAAATTAGAGTGGTTCTACTGGCCCAATCGTCAATCCGATTTGGTTCTTATAACAATGGAACGTGTCCAAGTAATACTTTAGCATATGCAGAAGTAAAAAAGAACGAATAAAGCGTATTAGCTAAGCTATTTATGGCAGATGGTGGGGATGATAATTTCGACCTTAACTATTTTATCCAATTTGTTTGGCCTATTTTGAGACGGGTAATACCCGTTCCACAAGTGAGTAGGGGTGGACTTGGAACTCTCCTTGACCTGATATGTTTTAATTGTTCCATTATCGATCCGTATCTACCTAAATTATATGTGATTTTACTCAAATTATTTAGAATTTTATTTTGATTATCTTATATTTTAACTATGATAAAGTTGTAATATATAATAAAGTTGTAATAGAGGAGAACCTAAATTTCCTGGATAATTTAGCTACGTGTATCATATTATAATTACCTAATCTATCACACCCGCCGCATAGCCATTCCTAGACAGTAATTTGTGTGTTCTCCTCCCTCCCTTGGGCAAGTAGTTTGTCTCTGCTTAGATGATCAGAAACAGCAGACAGAAACAAACACCAGAGTCAATGCTGCTCCTTTTTTGGCTTCTTCTTCTCATCCGTTGGACTCCCCAGATTACCACTGCAACGGGTAACTCACCCAACCAGAACCACGCACAATTCCTCCTATCCCATCTTCTCATTGATACCAACTGATATGGCCCAGTAATAGCAGTAATATAAATCCCACAGGCGATAGCTTGTTTTGTGTTAACAATTAAGCCCTTAATATAACATTCAATCCATCTCTTCCTAATTAGAGCAGCTACTGCATCCTTCCTGAACTGGATGTTCCATCATCTTTCTTTTATACATACACAGTACAGCAGCAACCAACTGGCTCCCGCAGTTTACACTCACTCACCAATCATGTCTTTTATCTTACTCTCGTTTGTCTTCCTCGACGTCTTCTCCTGCCGCCATCCTCTCCAGCTTTGGATCCACAGCTGCTTTCAACACCCCACTCGTCAATGAGATCCCTTCCTCGTCAAACTCGTCTCCTACCTCCTCCATATATGCGTATCTACAAAATATTGACAGACCACAACATGTTGTATCACTATATGGTAGTAGAATGAACAGCTCTTAAACACACACAAACATTATCAACTCAAATCACAGAGAGAGATGATGATGCCAAAGCAGGTATGTGTACCTTGTTGGGTTACGTGAAGGAGCCCATAAGATGCATATCACCACCAAGAGAAAGTATGCCAAAAGGGTCCAGAAAGCAGGGATTATCCATGCAATTCGCCACATCTCGCTTAGTGGATCCGTAGCATTGAAGTAAAGCTATATTATATAGCAGCACCCCGTCACCACAAACTATGACTACCACTACTACTACATCAATGTGCAAGTAAAAGAAGTGCACATGGATAAAATGGGTGTTTGGTAATATACAGAGCAAGGAGTGAAACTGAATAATACCTCAAAACCAATCCAAGCAATGGAAAGTAGCACGGACACGGCAAGGTAGTTGGTGAACCTCTGGTATAGTTCAAGCTTGACCAAGTTTCTTCTCATCTGCAGCATAAATAGGGGGCAAGAAAATGATTGTGTGGTGAAGACACTTGCATTGACAACAATGAGTTAAGGACGAAGAAGGAAGGCACTAGCCAACAATGAGTCAAGTATATTACCTGAAGCTTCTCCAACGTTTTTGACAACGATGAAAAAATCCAGAGGATAAAGCACGAATCTAAGAAAGCAACAGGAAGCACCAACAACAGCTCTGTTCTCTTTGAGAAATCATTTACGTTCCCCATATGTTCAACAAGCTCAAGAGCCTCACAGGCAATGAAATAGAAGAAACCAAGAAGAAGTACTCTGGATGTTATGCCCCCAAGTGTAGGACGAACAACACCAAATCCCATTGACACAACCAAAAGAAGCAACCGAGATAGAGTCTTCTTCACAGTAGTGAAAGTAACAGCCCACAAGGTAACACCGATCGGTCTCCTTCCAGTCGAGTTGAAATTGGCATATTCAAAATACCATACAGCCATTTCACACATTCCAAGTGCAATCACAGCCGTGATGTGGTAGTGTAATTGGATAACATCCTTCCACAACTGAACAAACTTCAAGAACCAGACTAGGCCTAGAACTAGGTAAGCCAACGACATGATTCCATAGAATGTCATTAGAGGAGTCATCTTTCCAGGTAAATAACCATTTGGGTTCTTCCAAACAGTTCTCCCCTTAATCAAAGTTCCCTTGAGTTGTGGATCACAGAACATGAAATAGAGGTAGTACATTCCAGTGCTGTTGATTTCAACCGCCTCAGGTTGCATTTTAACTTCCTCATTCTTTCCTGCAAATGAAGTTTGAATCCGCTTGGGCCATTCCGGGTTGTCTGGGTTCTTCTGGATAATCACCTCCCCTAGCTTGCAGGCTCCAGTGGCCGCTAGAGTAGGGTTGCAACATATTAGATTACTCTTCAAAAATCCACCTCCAACCCTTTCCCTGTCTTTAACCTCAAGGACGATAGCTTCCACCAACCCAGTATTCTGCTGCATTTCATGCTGCTGACTGGCAGCCTCTTTTGTCCTCACAAAAGTAACATCCTCGAACCTGAAATTCCATTTTACGATCCATGGGAAAGTCCTAAGTTAGATCGCTTTAGCTTTTTAACATTTATCGAACAGTAAATCAGTGAAACCCGAATATAGTAGTAACTGATCGAACTCATTTCTACTCGAGATCGATTGCCATCTACTCATAGAAGATTAATACGTTCCCATCAGAACTTACGAGATCAAATCCAACAAAATGAAGTAAAAACAGAACGCGCACAAGGAAGATGAAGTCTTCAACGGAGGAACTTACCGGATGAAGGACTTTCCTTGGAGGTGATTTTCGGACGTAACGGCAGAAGAATCGTGGACCTTAGAAGCATAGAGACCTTCGCTGCCGCCGTGGAAGAAGAAGGCATCGGGCTGCGCAATGAACCCTTCGTTACTGTACTCGTGAATCGATGCACTCACACTGGCCAGATGGGAGTTGATGATCGTGATAAACAAGACGAACCCCGATAGAAACCCTAACTTCCAGAATTCACCCTCCTCCATCTCCGTTTGCAGCTGTGTGCCGCAGCTCTAGATTTCTGGTACAAAACAAAGGCGTCCCCGTCGGCTCTGCTATTGCTATTACTGCTGCTGCTGCCGGATTCTAGAAATGGTAAGGAGGGAGAAAGTAAATAGTTGACCCCGCCCGGCCAGAGCAAGGGCGATGGCATTGATGCCGCTAATGGAAGGCCCAACTGTAGCCTGATGTTGAAATTGAGGCTTGTTTGCAATATGTCCTTAGTGGGCTGGGCCGGGCCTAGAGAAGGCATCTGTTTTAAGCGGGCCTTATTTGCAGCAAAGTTTTATCCTGCTCGAAGTGTAATGGCCTATTGCAATGGAATAATAATGTGGACTCTACAAGTCATGGCAAGGGAGGTTGCAAGAAGGTGAAGCTTCCAAAACTTACCTAAAAGTTACGAAGAGCTTCACTTACCTCCAATGTAAAAGGATATTAACAAGGTGCACTTGCATTGACCTTTTAATGCATGAATTGTCCTCTTGTGTGGTATGTTAAAGTTGGGAGAAGAAACTGTAGAAAGGGAGATGCAATGCACAAATAAGAGCTGGAAGTTGAGGGAAAAAAGAAAGTGAACAAACAGGTCAAGAATGAGTATTTAAGACTTTAGGGCGGTCAAGATCACGGGCTAGCTCCGCGAGATCGCAGCCATGAACTTAACCTCCTTAACCGCGATCTTTGACTGCCCTATCCCTCAACCTCTAAGGGTTGGCATGCATAAAGGGCTATGGAACAAGTGGGTTTCCAATTTCATGTCATAAGAACTTAAGAAATTAGGCGTGAGCATCCTATGCTAATTAAGGATTCTACTCGAGTTAAAGGAAAAGAAAGAGGAAAAGGGAAGGAAAATCAAACTGAAACATTGGGGGTACCTCCCAACAAGTGCGTCTTTAAGGTCGTATCGGCAGACTCTCCAAGGTGAGTTGATTAGGGGGTGGTAGTATCCCAACGACTATTGTTGTCATCATACACACGCTTGTGATGGAGATGAAGGTGTAGGCCATGAAGTATTTTGTTTCCTTTCTATGTCGATATATCTAATGGTAACCTTCCTATTTTATCACGCTCCATGGGAGTGCCCATATGTGACTCTTCTCGAGAATAGTAGTTGTAACCTCATCAGATGCTCTCCCGAGACTGACCTTGGACATCTTGTTCTCTCTTTTAGCTATTCCACTACTAACATGCTTGGTTGCCAATGGATCTGGATCGAGGACGAGTCCTTTTTGAGAAATTGAAATTTTTGGTGGCGAGGTCCTTGCATAAGGTGAAAATGTCGGAGAAGTTCCCTTTTTATCCTTGGAGAGCTGCATAACTATGTTGTCCTCACCAAATTCTATGATGACCTTTCTTTCAAGAACTTTGATAAATGCTTTAGCGGTATAACGAATAGGGCCGTCTTTCTTAATTGGAGTCTCATGTCGAGTGAAAATAGGATAATCCTGGCCTATATCAACAATAAGAAGTTCGGCGAATTCCATTTAGTATCCACCAAGTGCTCAATGCACTCGACATATTTGTAGAGCCTTAGCACCTTCTCCCACAGAAGGGAAAGTAAGTATTACGTCTTGAGCTACTTCTTCCTTCCTTTTCTGGTAAAATTTAACACCAAAGTCATCTTCCATTGGATTCGGCACAATTGTAAGTTCATTCTTGGTGGCCTTGCTTGGTGTCAAAGTTATTGCCTCTCAGTGTTCTCTTTTAACCACTTGCGATCCTTGTTCTTCTCTCTTGTTGGTTATGATATTTTTCAAGACTCCTAAGGAGGATGACACTGTATTCATGAAATCCGCAAGTCAACCAGTGGGAAAGGAAAAGCTATCAATCACAATAGGCACAAGAGGGGAGGGTCACTACTTTATGCTCGGCTTTAAGAGAATGTGTATGGGTAACGAAAGCTTGCACGAATTGATCAAAGTAATTCATCTTCTGATGATAGATAGAAACCCAATCCAGGATTCGCTCTTCCAGCCGATCAACTCGACACTTCAACTCTTGGCAAGAGCCACAATATTCTTTAAGAAGGCCCAAGCAAGGGTTGTCTTGGGGTTGAGAAGATGGGTTGTTGTGGTTGAACTCAACCGTGTTTAGGCAAAAACTTGCTCTACATGCATTAGTACTTGATTGCTTTGTCCTTCTAAAAGCTCAATTAGCTTACTCTCAGCTTCCTTGATTTGGAATTTTAGTTCCATTGTGCGCTTTGTTCTTGCCTCTTGTTCCTCTATTTGATTGCATAGCTTTTTGATTTTCTCAAGATCATTGTATTGGAACCACAAGGGTACCTTCTTCGGATGATCTCTTTAAACTTTTCATTAAGACCATTGAAGAAACTCTCGTTGAGGAGACTCTCAGGATTTTCGTGCTTTGGACATTTGTATACCATAGCATTGGAATGTTCCCAAGCTTTGTCAAAGCTTTCTTCATCTCCTTGTTGGAAATCCAAGATGTTCTTCCGGAAGAGGTTGGACATTGCACCGTCGGGATAACAAAATACAAAACTCTCAATAGTTTGGCTCTAACATGGAAAAGTTGAAGCCATGAGCTCCTTATACCACAAATCCAGTTCTCCTTTCAAGGAATAGGTGAACAAGAAGGCTGTTGGTGTGGTTTTGATCACATCCTGGTAATTTCATGGTATTGGCAAAGCTCATGAAACTCCTCAAGTGGGAAAAAGCACATTCATCCTCTTATCCTTGAATTTAGGTCTTTGGTGAAGGGCGAAGATAGCTCTTCTAAGAATGATATCCAACTCATTGCCCTCCATCATAAAATGATACTCGAGTTGCTATACTGTTAAAACACAACCTAGAACAATCGTGATGCACAGAGTGGGATAAAAAATAAAACAATATAAAAACTACTATATATAAGCTTAAAAGTGAGATTAAACTAACAACTCAATGATTTTCAACTAGTTGTCGAGGTTCCCTAGCAACGGTGCCAAAAACTTTGCCGAGCATGATACGAGCGGGAATCCGCTTGTAGTTATCAAAGTAGTGCAACGACAATCTCGAATCTAGAACATGAATAGTGTTTGGGATAAGGAGGAATTGAACGTGAAACTTCAACACAAAATCGGGAAGAGACTCTAACAATATAAAGGTAGAAGATCGTCAACAATCAAAGGAAAAACTTGATTGATACAAAGCAGAAAATTCTCAAGCCTGAAGTTCAAAGAACAGGAATAAAACCAATAGGGTTCAAAAACTAGTTCAAAACTCGTGTTTACAACTCTTTATATAGTTTAGGACAAATAAAATGACCAACACACAGCAAAGGAATGAAATCCTAAATCGAAAAGGTAACTTGAACTCATCAAATCCTGATCCTCAGGTTGGGTCTTCGAACCCCCAGGCAGGGAAAACGCCTTCTTACAGCAGGAAAAACCTCCAGTTCGAATCCCCAGGCAGGGAAAATGTCCCTTATGGCCGGGGAATTATTCTGTTGGCCAACCCGATCGCTGCCTTATATTTTTGGCCGGTCGGAGAATCACATCAGAACCCCCGTGCGGGTAATGTCAATTGTTTGCACAATCTAACTAACTACCTCATTTAGAGCCAAGTATGACCCGAAATGGCGTTGCTAATATAGTGGCGACCAAGATCATATTCCATGGGAACGACCACGATGCTATGAGAATAGAGGAGAAGAAGAAATTCTATCATCTCCGAAAGACTTTATACGGACTAAAGCAAGCACCAAGAGTCTGGAACATCATAATTGATTGATAATTTCTACAAAATGGATTTCAAATAAGTTTGAGGGAAGCATCTCTCTACATAAAATGGGATAAGACAAAAGTTTTCTCATTGTGTGTTTATATGTGGTTAACTTGATTAACACAAACACAAGTCAATAGATGATTGGAGATTTCAAAAGTACCCTGATGAAATAATTCTAGATGATGGATTTGGGACTAATGAAGTATTTTCTAGGGATCCAAGTGAAGCAAGTAGACTTGCACATGGAGAAATTTTCATTTCACAGGAGAAGTACACTGAAGATGTGTTGAAAGATTTCACATGGCAACATGCAAATCAGTCGCAACTAATGGAATTGAATGAGAAGTTGCTAAACAATGATGGAAAGTTGTACATAAGTCTTGCTAGGTAACTCAATTAACTGAAACATACTAGGTCAGATATATGTCATTCAATAAGTCTTGAATCAAGATTTATGAATAAACCTAGCAAACTTCACTTTGCAGGAGCCAAAACAATTTTGCACTAGCTTCAAGGAACGAAGAAATTAGGCCTAACGTATAAGAAATAAGCATAAAGCAAACTGATTGGGTTTGCCGATAGTGACTGGTCAACATGGCAGGATTAATAGATGATCCAAAATAACACATCGAGATACATATTATATTTGGGTTCAAAAATCCATATTTTGGAGTTCAAAGAAGCAGAAGACTCTGGTTGTGTCTTCAGCGAAAGTAGAATATATCACAGCTACAGATGCATAATGATAAACGGTATGGATAAAAATATCAATTTCTGATTTGCATCAAAGTGAAGATAGTTCAACCATTATTCACCGTGACAACATGTCATCCATAGCTAGGGGTGTTCAAATGGTTACCATGGTTATAACCAAACCAAATAAGGCTAAATTCCATTAACCATGGAATACAATATCATAACCAAACCGTCCAAACTAATACAACAACCAAATTAACCAAACTAAAGTTTAATCGATTTGGTTAATTGGTTAACCAGATTAACCAATATAAAATCACATTATCATTGACGATGAAAATTTTCCGGGTTAATGCAACAATTCGCAATTTATATAATGAATAAAACATAACAATCAACACGTAGTTATAGTTGACCCTTAACAAAAATACATGCAACAAAGACAATTATCTTACGATTAGTATAGAAGTATTCACCTAACAAAAATTTATGACAATGGTATGGGTTAATGAATTGTTGTGTTTGTGTAAATTGACTTAGTCTCTTAGCAATTATCATAGGCTGGAAATGACCTTCCTTTCAAGTTTTCATCCATCATAATGTATGAAATTTATCTAAATTAGGCGTCCATATGTTGTGGTCTACATTTTACATATACAAATATACACTATATGAGCAATATTGAGCTTTATATTTTATGA